TTGAACTGTCTGGATGCCTGCGTTCTTAGGACTAAGGTAAAGAACCTTGGGTTTGGAGGTAAAGGACCTTAGTGATCTCAGGCAATTCTGCTTCAACTCTGTGGACTTGTTTGCTTATCTATAAAATGAGGGGGTTGGACCTTAGAGGTCAATGAGTTCAAAGAGGAAACTGAGGCCCACAGGGGTGGGCTCTAACAGTCTGAGGACTATGACCTGAGTGGGTCCAAGTCCAAGTCCAAAGGAAGGGAGAGAGGAGAGATTAGGAGAGTAGGGTTAACTCAACAGAATGTTGGAGTTTCTTGATCCCTGGATGGGGAAGGCTAGGAGAAGCCATGGAGGCATCTGGGCACAACCGTGGGAGCTATGCAGGAGGGAGAATCCATAGAAATATATGGCACCTGTCTCCATGCCTGAGAAACACAAACAAACCTTTGGTCACAGCAGGCTGGGAACCACAGGCAGCACCCACCTCTCCCCAGCTCAGAGTGGCACCCACCTCCCCATTCTGAGTGGTGCCAGCCTAGCCTTGTTCCCAGGAGACAAACTCCAGGGTCAGTCAAAACAACACAGCAGCTACTCCTGGCAGCCAGTCCTAACTGTACTGAGGACACCCTTGGCCCTGCCCAGTTCCCTTCCCCCATTCCTAACAGCTCTCACAGGATTCCATGACTTTCCCTCTCCCCTGCCTTCCTCTCACACCCCCCCCCCCAACTTCTTGGAGCTTTGGAAAGAGAGCCCAGAAGTTTGTTTTTTTCTTGCTTTCTCAATAGGGATGTAGGAGGGAAAAGAGCAGCTATTTGTTTGAGGGAAAAAAAATTTTTAAATTAGAACTTAAAAAAAGAAAAAGATCCCAAAGAAGAAGAGACAGGATAGCTTTTGAGTAGATCAAGTGGGGATAAAGGGAAGCATGCCAGCTGCAGAGATTTATCAGAACCAAGTACTGATCTCTCCCTGAAGAGACAACCTTCGTGTGATGGGCTGCCTGGGTTCTAGTCCCAGGTCAGTATCTATGCTTACAGAACCATAAGATTATAGTTTTATTGGATCATCTGAAATGCTGTGGTGTGCTGACCTTAATTTTCCCACCTGAAAACCAGGCAGAGAGACTGTACCTCTCTCCTAGGGGCACTGGTCTTCGCAGCTTTCTGACATCACCATTATCTTTAAAAAAGTACGCAGGAAACATCTGATTGCTATCTGTGGCCATCACACCTATCAGTCACTGAGAAAACCTATATTCCATTGCCCTTCTTTTCCATTGTGCCTAAATCTTATTTTGTATGATCTCTCACGCTATACCCACTGCTGGGCTATGCCCACCATTCCCCTCCAATGGAAAGACAGCTGCCATCAGGGCCCTTTTGTGGGGCTGTTCCCATGCGGCACTGGCTAGGGGGCCCCACTATGGGGCACCAGATGGACCCATGATCTCTACAGAACAATGGTGGGGGAGGGGCCCTGGCATCACCAGACCCAAACAGGAAGCCCTGAATGAGCTTCAAAGGGCTGGCAAGGCCAAGGGGCTGAGGGGCCAGAGCCAGCTCTAAGTGATGCCCCAGGTCTGCAGAGGGAAGGCAGGGAAGGCGGTAGCCTCCTGGGCAGAGAAGGAGCAGAATCCATGTACTTCCCTGTAGCCCAGCACCAAGCTTCCAGTCTCTCTCTGGCCTTTTCATGTACCCGCAAAGGAAAAATATATGGAACCCGGAGCCTAGACTTCTTAATTTTGTCCCCATTTCTGACTCTATTCTCACGAGGGGCTTGTTTCTCTCCTTATCCACAGGAGGGAAGAAGAGGCCTGGGGACCTAAAGTCACTGGGAGATTGACCCAGGTGGTTCTGCCCCACCAGGCAGGGTCACTATCCCTGCAGCCAGGGAGTGTGTGGGGTGGGGTTGGCATACAGCCGGAGGGCCACCCACTCCCTCCCTCCTGCTCCCAGCTGCTGTGGTCAGAGCCTTTTCCTCTGCACTTCCTGTTCACACAGTGGGGGGGGCGGGAAGTGGAGGGAGGAAGTGGGGGGAGGCAACTGGGGTGGACTCATTGAATAAAAGGAATTAACCATTTCCCTCCTCTGACCTCTGGGAATTTCCGCCCGTGAAAGTGTCTCGAAGAATCTCAAACACTGGGGATGGGGAGGAGGGAACTAGAAGGGGAGGCAGGAGGAGCAAGCTCTCCAGTGCCTCTCTGTATTGGCCAAATCTCTCACCTCCTCCGACCTTGTGGCACCAGGAGCTAATTCCCTTTGGGCCCTTAACTGTTTGTTCCCACAGCACCAAGGGGCAAGGCCAAAGCAGCCCTGGAGACTGGCAATGTCTGAACCAGCTCTCAGGCCTTTCAGCAAAAATAATGAGGTGCAGGCATGACCTCACATGGCAGGTAGAAGCTCTACTTCCCCAGTGACCCCTCAGCGTGCTTGCTTTGGCGTCTCAGGGGCAAGATCCTAGGAGTAATACCTTTTTTTCTAACCCCCCCTGTCCCATGACTGACTGCTGCCCTGTGTCTGCCCTTAGGAAGAGGGGGAATATTAGTGGGAGAAAACGATGTTTTCAGCTTCCCTGGAGGTACAGCCAGCAAGATCGTGCATCCGCAGGGTGGGCAGCTAGGTGTAGTGTGGCTGAACAGAGACACCCCCTACTGGCAGGTTCAACTGGGCCAGCCGGGAGGAGGGTGCTCTCATAATCTAAAGGTACCTCCAACAGAGGAGCCCTCAGGCTCTACAGTCAGTTCTAGAAGCCAGTGGAGAGCACCCCCTGGTGGCTACAAGGCAGGCAGGGAGGCTAGAGGGTGGGTCAGTTCAGGAAGCACCTGCTCCCCCATGACAGGGGAGCCTCCTGCCCCCCCCCAAGGTGGCTTCCTTGTTTACAACCCTCCCACCCCCATCCTGATCCCAGCACCAATGTCCACAGCCCCTCCTATTTCCAGTGACTGCTCCAGAAGCAGTTCATTGATCTCGGCCCTTCTGAGAGCAGCTGCTCCCCACACCCGCAAGAATCCCCCCCCCCCCCCCCCCCCCCCCCCCCCGCTCTTGGCCAGGGCCCTGAGGGCCTTCTCCCTTCCATTCCCAACCCTGCCTCGTTTCCAGGGATCTAAGAGCTGCGGTTTCCCGTTGCCCTGACTCACCGGAACACCATTCTGTCATTGCCAAGGAAGGCCCGGGGCCTTTTTTCCAGGAAGGGGGAAGCTGCCTCTAGCCAGATGGGCCAGCTTGGGAGACAGAGGACAGAAGGGCCAGGGAAGTTTAAATTCTTAGCCAAGCCCTCTGGGCCCTTTTTGGGAGGTGGAGGTGGGCAAAAATAGGTAAAAATAATGTCAATATCCATTTGAGCTTCTTTGTTTATGTGAGAAGGCCAACACTGGGGCCAAACCAAGGTTAGGCTTCTAAATTTCTAAGGACAGAAAGCAGGTGAGAAGGGTAACCTATTTCCTAGGTAGTATGGCTACCCAAGATGGCTAACACCAATGGTCTCCCTACCTTAGCAGTTCTTGGAGGCCGGGTGAATTGGTTGGACGCTACAGAGAAGAGGGAACAACAGATAGCAATGTTGTCCCCACCAGGGAAAAGCTAATATTAGAAGTTCTACAGATAACATAAAGGTCCTAAGGCCCCATAACCCTGGTAAGGATCTAAGATAGACAGATGGCAAAGGTTAACATAACCCTGGTAAATCTAGAGATAACATGTTATGGTCATAAAGTCTGATGCTATAAGATGAAAGGGCTAAAAAGTTATATAAGAGACCTGTCAGTGCCTAAGCTTTTCTCTGGAGCTGTGGGGTAACCCCTGGTCTAGAGCCTGGTCGGCCTGATGATTTTGGTGCTCTAGTCAGGATCTAACTTGAAAGATCTAGGAGAAAGGCCCATTGCCCCAGTCTCTGACTTCAGCACAGAACTGAGATAAGGGGGGACAGCAAGGGAACCACACCCTAGGTCAAAGTGAGGTAAGAGAATGGAGGACACCAGTCACTGGACTATGGCCCACTGTGTTTCACGAAAGCCGGAAGTGGGGACAGAAGAGGAGAACCCTTCAAGTTTATTGCCTTGCTGGCTCTGGCTTCAGGACACTCACTCCTTACTTTCTGTTTTACTCTGACCCACCTGACAGACCACACCTACAACCTTGGGCAGAGACCTACTGCAGCCACCTCTTGGACCTCACCCGTGGCCATCTCTCCAGGACTTAACCCCCTAACAAAGGCAAGGAATCAGACCCTGAGTATTGCAGGGGATGGATGGCTAGGGCTCTACACACCCAGCCAGGCACAGTGATGGGAAACCAGCAGGCCTAAACAAGAGAACAAAGAGTCACGCTGCTGCAGCAAAGGAGCTGAGACCCGGCCAGGCTGAGCCAGCAGAGCACAGGAACCCGCTGGTTAAGGGAGGGCACAGGTAGAACCTTAGGGGGTTAGGTGCTGAGAACTATAGCAGGATTGACCAGCAATCACTTAAACGACCTCCTCTCCTTAGAAGAGTGAAGGGCAGATAGAGGGCGTTTAAGGATCACTCATGCATGGATAATTTTAAGTCTAGCAGCAGCAAGTGGTTTGGGGACCTGGTGTGGGGGAAGGGAAGACGCAGCACAGAGCCTGCCTGAGGAAACAGTGTCCCCTGGTGGCCAAAAGCAAGAACACGAGACATCCCACTGGATGGAGTGCCACCTGCTGGCCAAAGGAAAGAATGAACGTCTCTTGTCCCCCAACCCAACAATGGATCCAGCTGAGAAGGTTCCAAAGAGATCCTCACCTTGGCTTCCTTCCCAAACCCTCCCGCCTTCGGGGGAGGCAAGTGTAGAAGATGGGCACAAGATTACAGAAGGGGTCTCCTGGGGGGGACCCACTGATGGCCAGATTATCTTGGCACCAAGACCCAAAGAGGACACCAATGCAAACATTGGAACAACCTAAAACGTGCCCCTCAGAACCCAGGCCCCTTGAATTCCAGCCCAAATTCACTCAGCTTCAGATACCGCTCAGCCTTTCACTGTCACAAAGTAACCAATGCCAGGGACAGCATCACAGACAGTTTAATGTCTTCTAAACCCGAGGAGCAGCATTCCTTACAACGGCTTCCTAGGCACAGGGGCCCAAAGGCCCACTAGCTGACATCCCCCTCAGTCAGTCTTTTCCCCAGCTCAGGGGACCCATGAGGGTCCAAGAAAGCATGCAGACTCCTTGCTCCTCACAAGAAGAGTCCTCCTCTGCAGATTTAGTTGTGCATGCTGGAACCTGAGAGGTTATACAGTGAGGACAAGAGTCCAGCAGCTCTGGCAAGTAAATGGGAATTGCCTCCAACCAGGGAAAGAAACAGAGGCATGTAGAATGCAAATGGGAAGGCAACATTTCTACAGAATAAGTGCTCTTGAGACAAGAAGCACTGGTGAGATTTGGCGGGGGAAAGGGGTGGTCAAGAACATGGTGCCATCTCAAAGAGACAGCAGATGAACTGGCAGATCCAGCTTAGACAAAGAAAGGGCTACAGTGAGATAGGCCCCACAGGGGCACTTATAATCCTGCCTGTCCCTCGCCTCACTGGAAATGAGAATCACTAGATGTCTACAGGAGGGACAGGGACTTAGCAGATGGTATGTTTCCCCCATCTTGTGGTGAGCAGCGGTGACCCCCTAAAGCCAGCTTTGGTGTTCTTCTTCATATCGCTGGGGATCGATGAAAGGCCGGTCAATGGAACGGATCATCAACTCCCCACAGTAGACACACTCAGCTGCCACCAGTTCATCCAGGTCAGCTTTCAGCTGTTCCCGGCTGGGTGCTCCTGGAGTCCCTCCTTCTCCTTCTTTTGTGCGGGCTGGGCCTTTGGTGGGAGGTGGAGCAGCCCCTAGCTTTCGCTGCAGCTCCTCCAGACGGGCTTGCTTATAGGCAGGGAGGCCAGGCCTAACGGCCTGCAGGAGGCAGTCAGCATGGAACATGTGACTGCAAAGAAAGACATAGAAAGGACGATTGAGCAGGGGGAAGTCACAGGCTGAGCACTTGTCTTGAGGCTCCACAGTGCCATAGCGCCCACGAAGCTCCTGCAGGTCTCGCCGAATCCGCTGGGCACTGGCTGTAGCTTCCTCCATCTCCCGCTGGAGCTCATCAATGTGCCGGTTGTAGGCCTGCAGGGAGCTGCAGATGGCCTCCTTGAAGTGGTCAATAGTGACAAAGTCTGGAAAGAAAGGCAACACATCCTCTATCTTGAGGAGAGGACAACTAGCCAGACAGGCCATGGCAGTCTTCACATCTTCTTCCTCTTGTACCACGTGCCGGGCGATTTTCAGCCACAGTTTCTTACGCAGCTCCTCATCCTCTTCCGGCAGATCTGCACACTGTTTAGCCAGGTCCACATCCACCTGGAAGGAACAAAAAGGTTACTGATGGCACACTCTACCTGGCTGGGAAAGGGAGTGGATACAAGCGGTCTCCCTGGTTCCCATGTCAGACCATGGAGCCAAAGCAACCTAAAAGTTCATGCTCCCTGCTTCTTCTCGGCAGCTAGGAAGGATGAGAATTTCAGGTTGATGGGAATAAGAAAACCTATTCTTTGTTTCTAATCAACACCCCACGGTCCCAATGGGCAATTAGTTTGTATTGTCCCAGCTGACCAAATAATTCTACTGATACCCAAAGTCTAAGTCTAGAGGCTTACAACCCATGTTCTTTAACTAAGCAATGAACTCTGCAACGAAGAGTGAGGACTCTTCTCACCCAGAACTAACTAGCCCTCTGTGCTTCCCACTCCATTCCCTCGGACCAACCATAGAAGTCACCGTCAATCCAGAAAGCACAAACTGACCCATTCTTCTGTGCTCTCACAGCAGCCAACCCCAAATAACAAGGAATCTCTCTTGGCCCATCCCCCTATCACCCTCATACACCCAGAGACATCTTCTCTCAGATGCTTTCAGCACCAGGACCCCGCACCCCTCACCTGGAGAGCTAAGTCGACAGCCTCTTCATAAAACTCTAACACCTTGTAGACGTGAACACAGGCCCGGTGATGGCCGTGCTCTGCACAGAGTCGTAGGGCATATTTGAGGTCATAGTGCACCCGGTGGGGATTGGTCCCTGCCTGCTCCAGGTAGGCCAGCAATGCAGCAGCCTGACCTCTTGCATACAATGAGAGCAGGTAGTTGTGAATGGCTTGCTCAGTTTCCCCTAGCACATTCACACAGAATTCCATGTAGCGGATGGCCTGGCTCACTTGCTGGGCTTCCCCACCTTGGCTGTAGTTCACCAGGGCTGGGATGAGCTGCCGGGCATCCAGTCGGCTGCCCAGCTCAATCCAAGCATCCACCAACTGTCGAGGAATATGACGAATGAGAATGGGTGAAAATTTATAAAAGAGCTGGGGATCATGGTGCCGGGAGAGCACAGCCAAAGCCTCCTCATAGGCTTCATGCTGGCAGTGATATGCTACAACCCGTTCATAGTCCTGCATGATCACAGCAAAATACACCATGTGTTCTGTGTCCCCATGGCTGGCCAGCAACTCATGGATTGAGGCTCGGCTGGCAAAGAGCCATTCTTTGTTGCGCGGGCTACTGAGAAAGTCTCGGAATCGCTCTCGTGTTTCCCGATAAAGAGGCAAAGAATCTGCATCACCCTGAAGTGCTCCTAGCCGGCTCAAGTAGAGTTCTGTCAGCCAGGCAGTGAGCAGTGTGGCCTGGGTGCGCTCAGCTGGCTTCAGCCCCGCCAATTTCCGCTGCAAGAATTCTGCCAAGGCCTCCTCCTGTCGAACTTCCAGGAACTTGAGGGCAATCTCTTCAAAGTAGCTTTGGGTCAGGGCATAGCATCGAGCGCTCTCCACGTAGCGGCGCTGGCGGAAGCAGAAGTCAGCCTCACGGGCCAGAACCGTGTCTAGGCAGTCAGGCCGCTCACGGCAATATTCTTTGGCCAGGTCAAAACGATTCATATCCAGATAGGTGCGCCAAACGTCCCGGGCCTCACGCTGTACGTGATAACGGAACACAGCACGCTCAGTGTGAGCCCACAGGTGGCCAGTAGAGGAGTCTTTCACCATATGTCGTAGTGGCCCAAATTTTTCTAGAAAGTGATCTCGTAACACCACCTGCCCTGTTAATGTACACACTGCTTCTACTCGGTCTGCTAGGAGCAGCAAGAAGTGGAACTGGGTCAGGACGATAGCCAGGGGTGGGCTGGCTCCAGGGCCTACACCAGGTGGATAATCCCACACTCTTTCTTCACTCAGCAAAGAATCGGGACGCCCACAGTCCAATGCGCCGTACAGTACGCCATCCCCCATCATCCAAGCAAAAGCACGGGGCGCAGAGCGCAGCTTGGGGGTATAGAAAGCCAACTCACTGTAACCCAGATTGCTGGGGAATTCTCGAAAAGGTGGTGGGTGGTCAGTATATGTGGCAAAGAGCCCGGAAAAGCCCTGGACCTCAGCCCCCTCTGCCACACGGCCTGTGAACTGGAATAGGCGCTGGCGAGTAGTGGCAATGACAAAACACCGTCCATCGAGGCCACGTTCTGCCTCTATGGAGCACACAGGTGCTGGGCCTCCCTCCTCCAGCAGTATATAAAGTGGGCGGAAGTAGAGGTCAGGTGCAGGACCAAAAAGGCCACCTTCACTGGCTGAGAGTTCTGCTTCAAAGATCTGGCCCTGGGCTGTACCCACTAGGATGGGCCCAGTGCTGCTCTCTGTGCCCAGGGCCTTGTTCCAGCCCACACTCTCCACCAGCTGCCCCTTCCATCGTGCCAGTGGCCGAACCTTCTGTCCATTGCGGTTTATGTAGAGGACTTCGGTACTGCTCAGGGCAATCAAGAGGTGTGAGCCTGAAGTAAAAAGGGACAGGAAATGCCAGGACACAGTCTGGCTACTACAAGATACTGCCCCTCCCACCCTCTACCCCATTCCTGAAAATGTTTGACATTTTTGGTGGTAGCCACAAACTCCAGGATGATCCTTGAGCAGTTCTTCCAGATTCCCTATGACTAACTTTTCCTTCCCCCTCCCCAGCCTCAAAATCCTCAGTACTTCAGTACATTACTGCCTCTTACCGGTGTGATCCAGAAACATCTTATGAACTTTGGCTTCATCTTTGCGTCCCAACTCCACATGGTTGGGCTCATTTGCCTTTCCCAGATCGATGCTGTGGGGAAGGACAGCAACAACTTCACCCCAGAGAAATAATAACCCATGGGAACTACCCTATCCTGAGACGCAACTACAATGAAATCTCTCTCTTCTAGTGGACAAACCAATATGTCAGGAATACCTCAGAATTAAGGTGGATTAAAAATTGCTTCCAAAAACAATTCTAACTAAATTATTTCCTCTTCCTAGAATGCAGCAATGGCTTTGGTATTTTGAAGTAATGCTAGAATCACCACCAATCTCTTCCCCATCCCCATAAGCTGCTTCCTCTGTCTGGCTATTTTGGCCCTGAGTTACCGGAGTAGAGTGTCCTTGCCCAAGCTCATGCAGAGTTGATTGCAGGAGACTACAAGGCTGGTGATACGGTCAGAGGGAGTAAAGTCAATTCGCTGCTTGGTAAAGATGGGTGCCTCCTTCTCCAGTGGGACATTTACAAACCCTGTAATCAAGAAAGGAAAGTAAAAAAAGTGAACATGGTATTCCCTATATGTAACAATAGCTCAGCTCCTATTTTCTTGCTCTACTTCACAGCCAAGACCTTGATTAGGCTGGACTCCGAAAAGGCATTTACTTAGCCTTTGGGGTCATCTCACCATCTGAAAAAGGGATCCTTAACATTTTCGATGATGCCCCTGAACTGTTTCTGACCCTGTTATACCTGCTCCCATCCTGAAGGGCTGTGTTTACTCATCAGTATCTTTGCCATTAACCTTATATTCCTTCAATCTTCTCAGGGTCAGCAAGCCCAACTCAAAACTCAGTTACAGTGAGTCTATTTTCTTATCCCTTGATCAACTGAGACAGCAGCTTTTGCAGTGAACTACCAGGGTAGTGATAAAATTTGCCGAATGGAAGAGTGTCCTGGAAGAATTGCTCTAATACTGGAGTTAACTGTAACTGTCTCCTCTAGGAGGTGGGGTGGGGGGAAGAATCCCTTTTTCCTCAACAGTCATTCAAAATGCTTCAGTCCTTTTAAACCTCTCACTCCCTCCAATTTTCTGCATCAACTTCAACTAACCATTAGGGCACTTCCAAATTCCAACTCATGGTCTTGAGCCCTCTTTTTCATCTACTTAATCTACACAATAAGGACTGCTAGATGGCAAAAGTGGATAGAGTGCTGGCCCTGGAGTCAGGAACACCTGAGTTCAAATCTGGCCTCAGACACTTACAGCTGTATGACCCTGGGCAGATCACTTCACCCTGTTTGCCTAAGTTTTCTCAGCTGGAAAATGAGCTGGAGAAGGAAAATGGAAAACTACTTCAGTATCTTTACCAAGATGGAGTCACAGGGTCAGACACGACTGTAAGGACTGAACAAAAAAATCTACACAATGACCACAGTCATCACTCTTTCCAGAACCACTCTCCAATTCCCTTCCTTTAAAATTCTCCATCCTCTGCCCTAATCTTTACCCTGAACAAAGGCTTTCACCAGCCGAATCCCCCCCCATTTATTCACTCTTCATGCATCTCAATGATGGAACTGGTGCAATCCAGCCTCGTGATATTCTATATTATCTAGGTGACCATGGGCTACTCACTGAATCTTAATGAGCCTAATCTGTAAAATGGGGTTAATAATACCTGCACTCCCCATCTCACAAGGTGTTGTGAGGAAAATGCTCTGAAAACTTGAAGTACTATGAAAACGTGTGCTGTTAGATCCTCCATTCAGTTCATTCATTCAAACATTTACGAAGCAGGTAGTTACTCTATTGAAGGTAGCATACTAGGAGCTGAGAACACAAAGCCAACGGAAAGGCTCTTCTTGACCTCATGGAGCTTACAGAAATGGGAAGTGCCATGGAGAAAAAGGAAGGGACTCGCCCAAGTCACCTGACAGCTCCTGCCACAGCTCTTGTGGACGCCAATTATGCACCTACGGCCATCCAGGAGCCCAGGCCCCTCCCTGGGTATGTGCGAGGGGGCTCTCGAGGCCGAGAAGCGCACAAAGCGCAGGCCCTGCCCCGGCCCCGGCCCCGCAGCCGCCACGGCTCTCGCTTACCCGAGTGGGGGATGCCCACGCTGGGGCAGCCCGGCTGCAGGACGGCCGAGCGCGACAGCGAGTCTTCGTACTCGTCCAGGATGGACGCCATGGCAGCCGGCCTCTCGGCCTCCCCCGCCGGGGCACCGCGACGAAAGCGGCGATCCTCCTTGCCTCCGGGGGACCGACCCCTCCGCTCCCCAGGAACCGAGAGGGCCCTCCGCCGAAGGCAGGAACGTCTCCCTGTCCTCCGCGCCTCACGCGCCCCGACCACTGCCCGCTCCTGGCCCCGGCAGCTCAGCTGACTCCGGCCTCGTGACGTCACGTGACATGTCGCGACGGGCGCGTGCACCCGCCGTGACGCCACTTCCTCGGCTCAAGGAGCATGCACTCCGCATGCGCCGGACAAGTTCCGAGGATGCGCAAATATGCTAAGGAGGTGGAGCAAAGACCGGGGGTGGGGCGAGGGATACCTCTTTTCCTCTCCTCCTTCCCCCCCACCTCCTCCTTCCCCAGACTCTCTCCTCCTTCCTTCCCTCTTCCTTTCCCCCTTTCCTCTTCCCTTCCCTCTCCTTCCCCTCCTCTCTTTCTCCCTCCCTCCTCCCTTCCTCCCCTCCCTCTTCTTTCTTCCTTTCCCCCTTCTCCTCAGCTCCGCTCCTCCTCACTCTCCTCTTCTCTCCTTCCCTTTCTTTCCTTCCCTCCTTCTTTCTCTCCTTCCCCTCCCCCTCACTCTCTTTTCCCTCCCTTCTCCTCCCCCCTTCCCTTTCTTCCATCCTCTCTCTTTCCTTCATCCCTCCTTTTAACAATGAGGAAGCTCACAGAGAGGTTAAGTGATTTGTCCAGGATCACACAGCTAGTGTCCTTAGCAGGATTAGTCTATCCTTCCTCATGTCTTTAAAAAAAAAAAAAAAAGGAAAGCTTTAGTGGGCGCTAGATGGCGCAGTGGATAGAACACTGGCCCTGGAGTCAGGAGGACCTGAGTTCAAATGTGACTTCAGACCCATAATACTTCCTAGCTGTGTGACTTTTGGCAAGTTACTTAACCCTAATTGCCTCACTAAAAACAAAAACCTTTTTTTTTTTAGAGGGCAGCTAAGACCCATTTAAGTGAGTCAGCATGTCCAAAACTAAACCCTTTATCTTTTCCCCCAAACCCTTCCTTCTAAGCTTCCCGGTTGCTGTTAAGGATACCACAGTCCTCCCAGTCACCCAGGCTCACAGTCTTGACTCTCTTTCACTCCCCATATCCAATCTGTTGCCGAGAATATCTCATAAACAGGCCACCTTCTTTCCGACACTGCCACTCATCAGCTGCAATACCTTGGTTGTCGGCCTTCCCACCACAAACATCTCCCCACTCCACTCCTTCTTCCGCTCAGCTGTCAAAGTGGTCTTCCTAAAGCTCAGGTCTGACTATGTTATCCTGGCTGGTGAAGTGGACACAGCAGTTGTCCTGGAATCAGGGAGCTGTTGAGTCATTCAGTCAGGTCTGACTCTTCATGACCCCATTTGGGGTTTTCTTGGCAAAGATACTGGTGTGGTTTGCCATTTTCTTCTCCAGTTCATTTTACAGATGAGGAAAGTGAGGCAAACAGGGATAAGGGACTTGCCCAGGATTGCACAGCTAGTAAATGTCTGAGGTCAGATTTGAACTTATGAAGAGGAATCTTCCTGACTTCAAGCCCAGTACTGTATCTACTGTACCATCTAGACGGGCTGTATGACTTGGGTAAGTTACTTAACTGCTATTTGCCTCAGTTTTCTCATCTGTAAAATAGGCATAATAACAGCATCTACTTCCCACCACTGTTGTTAGGATCAAATGAAATAATGTGTAAAACACTTAGCACAGTGTGGGGCACACAGTAGGTACTATGTAAATGCTAGTTATTATTTTATCATTATTATTATACAAACTCCAGTGGCCCCCTATCACCTCCAGGATCAAATATAAAATCCCATTTGGCATTCAAAACCTGCTCCTCCCCTTTTAGTGTTCTTACATCTTATGCTCTTCTCCCACACACTTTTGATCCGGTGACACTGACCTCCTTGCAGTTCTTCAACTAAGACACTCCGGCTGACTGAGTATTTTCACTAGCTATTCTCCATTCTTGGAATTCTCTCCCTCTTCATCTCGATCTCTGGGTTCCTCTGGCTTCCTTTAAATGTCAGCTAAAGTTCTACCTTCTAAAAGAAGCCTTTCTCCATCCACCCTGATTTTACTGTCTTCATTCTGTTGATTATTTCCAGTTTATCCTACCGTGTATAGCTGCTTGTTTGTATGTAATTGTTTGCATGTTGTCTTCCTCATTAGACTGTGAGATCCTGGACAGCTGGGCATCTTGCCTTACTTTGTAACTACAGCATTTTGCACGGTGCCTGCCTGGTACATAGGACTGACACAAGTCGTAAATAGCAGAGCATAAATTTGGGCTCCAGGCTTCCCACCTCTAAATTTCCCAATCCGTTGCTTATTATCATTGCTACACAATGTTGTCTTTCTCATCCCTATCTTTAGCACTATCTGACTGCTTTCTTATAGGGCCTGAGAACCCCAAAACAATTTCTGCATGTCTCTAGCACCAGCCTAGTTTTGAACTCCCAACCTGACCTCTGCAGCTTCCTTGACTCCCCTGTGCCCTCCTAGATCCAGCTCTTCTTAACCTTTCTTTCTTTCTTTCTTTCTTTCTTTCTTTCTTTCTTTCTTTCTTTCTTTCTTTCTTTCTTTCTTTCTTTCTTTCTTTCTTTCTTTCTTTCTTTCTTTCTTTCTTTCTTTCTTTCTTTCTTTCACCGGCTTCTTCCCTTGAACAGCATCTTCCTTTTTTTCTACTCCTCTGCCTCTCCCCTCCCCCTAAAAATTCCTGCCTCACCCTGCCCTTCTTTTTTTTCCTTAGCAAAATTTCCCACTTATCCTTTCCAATCCTGGTATCATAGGATTATAGATTCAAAGACTACTGGGTTGTTTTCCCAAAACCAGACTGGAGTTGCCCAAGGTTTGGGGCTGACCCCTGGGCAGGGGATGGGCCTCCTATGCCTTTCCCATGCCCAGTTAAAAAGGGAGTTTAGCAAGCAGTCCCTTCTCCCACACAAACTAAGGCCAAAGAAAATGCAAAACAGGTTATCCAGGTCAGTTGCAGGTCATCTCCATAACTATCATCCTGTCTTGCCCTAGAGCTTGTCTCTTTGGAGGCAAGCAAGGGTGGGGATGGGAAAGTTGTGATTTCAGAGAGGTAATAATAGCTGATATTTATATAGTAGTTCAAGGTTTGCAAAGTGCTGCACATAAAGTTCCAGTAGCCCGGCCGCAAACCACGTGAGGAGGCTGGGATGTGGATTTGAGACCTAGCTGTGTGTCTTTAAGCAAGTTATTTAATGTCTTAGACACTCAGTTTCCTTATCTGTAAAACAGGGAAAATGATAGCACCTCTCTTACAGGAACTTGAGGATTAAATGAGATACTAATACATAAAGTGCTTTATAAATCTTTTCTTTTTTTTCTTTTTTCTTTTTTTAGGCAATTCGGGTTAAATGACTTGCCCAGGGTCACACAGCTAGTATTTGGTCTGAGGCAGATTTGAACTCAGGTCCTCCTGACTCCAGGGCCTCACTGCGCCACCTAGCTGCCCCAAGTGCTTTATAAATCTTAAAGGGCCATTTATATACTAACTATTATTATTCCCATCTTACAACAGAGGCTTAGACTCCAAGTGTGCAGGGTCTGGGATTTGAACACAGGTCTCATTGATGCCAAGTCCAACGTTCTATCCATGTACTCCACCACATTGTCTACTATCTGTGTGCTGAGACTTTGCTAGATGTTGAAAATACCAGCACAAAGAATGAAACAATCCCTTCTTGGAAGGAATTTACATTCTTAGCTGAAGAAGGAATAGAGAGTTCCCTGAGAGCCTTTGTTCAGTAGTTTCAGTCCTGTTGGACTCTTTGTGACCTCATTTGGGGTTTTCTTGGCAAAGATACTGGAGTGGTTTGCATTTCCTTCTCCAGATCATTTTACAAATAAGGAAACTGAGGCAAACAGGGTTAAGTGACTTGCCCGGGGACACCCCTCCCATAAGTATCTAAGGGGGCTGGATTTGAACTCAGGTCTTCTTGACAGCTTGGATTGCTATTATTATTGATGTTTGTGTCCTGGTGTTTCCCCAGCACCATGCCTTACAGATAGTAGCCGTCTGCTGAATGTTTGTTGAAATGAACTTCTGGGACTTTGATTCCCAACCTGCTTAGTTAGATGGCCAAGCTAAATATAATTCTCTTCTAAGTGCACAAAGTCTGTTGTTCTTGTTGTGGTGGTGGTTGTGATAGTGGGGTGGTGGCTGACTATACAGCTTGAGTGGATGGTTCCACCAACCATGTGGAAAATAATTGAGGGAGGAACTTCATCATCTTTCTCCCTAAATGTGCCCTTCCTAGACCTTCCGTGTGAGTGGGATATCCCAGTGAAGACTCCTCAGTGTAATTAAGGTTTGGGATAAGAGTGGGATGAGGGGTCCTGTGAAGACTTCTTAGAAGAATAAATAGAAGTTGTATTGAGACTCAAGGCAGGCACAGCAGCCCAACAGGCCTAAGTTTCGGTTTACTAGAAATCACCTGAGTTACGGGAATCTAATGCCAAGTACCCCCCCTTCTATGCCATTGTTATATCAGTAGTTAAAGTTTGCCAAGCCTGAAACTCCTGAAGAAGCAATCCCCCTATCTTTTTTTTTTTTTAGGCAATTGGGGTTAAGTGACTTGCCCAGGGTCACACAGCTAGTAAGTGTCAAGTGTTTGGTCTGAGGCTGGACTTCAGGGCTGGTGTTCTATCCACTGCACCACCTAGCTGACACCTCCCCCCCCATCTTGTTGTACCTATTGCTATATTTTGGTCATGGTGACCTGGCTATACAGTACAGTGTCTAGCTTGACCGCACATCTTTAATTGCTTCTTTGGTATTACTTCAGCAAACTAAGGGGCTAAATACAGACATGTATATTGTTCTCTTTGTTTTGTTTTGTGTTTCCATAGATTGTGAGCCAAAACATTGGCCAGTTGGTGGGAGGGGGGATTTGCCTGTTAGGGCTATTTAATCTGGTTCTTAGCTCCTGTGCTCTGTCTCCCCTCATCAGAGCATCCTGGTGGAGGGACACCTTATTCTCGAGAATAGTAAGTAAATTAACTTTCTGTTTCTCCTTGAAAAACCTCTAAGCATGTTTTTTTTTTAAATTTGAGTGGCATCCCACACAGGTGGATGACACCACGATCCTCACAATCATCCAGACTTCTACCTGGGAGTCATCTTTGTCTCTTCTCTCTATCTCATCTCATACATCCTGTCCCTTCTCTCGCTA